TGCAATTTTTTAAATCCAGCCTATTAAAATTTTTCTTTTCATTTCCTCCTATGCCTGCATACCAAACAAAGGAAGTGAAAATCAAACTCCTATTATTTTATTTCAGAGATAAAAGTTCCGGCCACACACACGGGTTTTAAACTGATCGCGTGGAATATGTTTTATTTATTTTAATTTTCCCCCTCAGTTGTTCTTTTTAAATTTTTAAGCCCTAGGGACCAATTAATGAAGGAAGGAGAATTATATGGCTTTAGCAATGTATGTTGCTACTCTAAAATTGGTCTTCATACCTAGACATGCTTTTTATGCTTGCAAAATGCTGCATTTAGTTCTTAATATAAGAAATCGTTTGATTATTATTTTGGTTCTCAATATAATATCTTAATCTAATTTATTTCTCATAGTTATCTATTTTTTCACAAGATAGTTATTGTTATAATGGTAGTTCTAATATACTTGATTAGTAAGAATATTTTAGGAAATATAACATTTATTCATGGCAAATAACTAATTAATTGCTTTTCTTAATCTATTTAAATTAATTAACTAACTCTTATATTAAAGAACGGATGTAGTAATTTAGAATTCTACTCTAAAATTCAACTAAATGATGCCACCCTTGGTTTAAAGAAAGGTTTTTGAGTTCAGTCCAAAAAAAAAAAAAAGAGTTTTTTAAGATTTGCCGAGAGTGGTTGTTTTCACGGTGGATGGCAGATTGGAAAATGATATTCGGACAATGCGAGCAGCTTCTAGTCTCAATCCCTGTCCATCAAATGGAAGCATCTCAGGCTTGGGTGAGATTAGGCTCTGTGCCCTATCCTCAGAAATAAGACCCTCGGATCTATTCAAGTGGGCCTCCTTCTGTGCACACTACGCAGTTCCGTTGCTATCCAAACAATTTCCATGGGCCTCCAAAAGGGTCGAGTTTCATGACCCCAAAAATTGTTGTATTTTAGGTTCATCTTAGATTTCAGAAGAAGCAAGGTTTGATTGAGGGATCGAGTCCAGCAAAAACGACTAATCTTTTATAACATAATAAAGCAATGTTGAATTTCTATCATGAGACGTGTTTGTATTTAGTGTTTGACAATATTTTGAATAAGATTGATTCCAATAAATAGATATGGAAAAAAAAAAGAAAAAAAACAAGAAGCAAGGTTTGTACTTTGTGCAGGTTTTAATTACAAAAACAAGATTGTGCCTGAAGTTTCTCTCAAACAGTGAAACATGGTCTCAATTGTGAAATCCACAAGCACTCATGAAAGTTGAAACAAGTTTCTTCTGAACAATCCAAAGGAGTAATGACCTTGTGACTTGTGCTTTCCATCATCATTTGCCCTTATGCTTGAAATAGTTTTTTTCTCGCCCCGAAAATTCAGAAGTGGAATACCCAGTAAAGTTCGCTTGGTCAAATCATTAAAATCATGATGAGTCCATCAAAGGTCCCCACAAAAGCAAATACTGACCTGGGCTTATCAAAAGGTTTTGGTTTGCAAGATATGGACGGATGACCCTATGCCATCCCCATATGCTCTTGAAAAATCGCTTTTACAGTTAAAAAGCTTCATATCAGCAACACGATCTGACTGTCATGCTTCTATATTTAAACCCACAGAATGAGATGGAAGAGGAGGAAAGTTTCATTTTTTAATATTGTTGGAGGACACCCTTTTCAGAAAAACAGAAGACACCCTTTTTTCCTGGGAAGAACATCGACCGAGAAAACCATAGAAAGTGGTAGAAACTGTATGACAGACACGAACAGAGCATATGGGGCAGAGACATAGAAAATGGTAGAAACTGTGTAGCAGACACGAACAGAGCATACGGGGCACGAAGAGAGTACGACAATGAATTTATCAATTTAGTCTTGGCCGCTGAGATGATGGAGGATTAGTATCACCTTATAAAACAATCATGATGTATTATGAGGGAATGCACCCCCTACAGCTACTAATCTAATATCCAATGCGCACAAAGCCTGCAATTTTAAGTACGATTTAGTCTAGGAAATAGAAGCTCGGACTATAAAATTAGGTCCATAGTCCCTGGCCAATAACCGACCATCGAAAGTTTGAAACGCAACTTTCTATTTCTTAAATAGACAGGATCCTGATTGGTTGAAACATGTCAAACGATGCATTATTTATATATGCTACAAGCAAAGCATACACAAGTACAATATTAGTTTAACAAAGCAATCTCTTGTTCCCAAAAGGGCCTCCATCACAGCCGAAGCCACTATGTGGTCTCTTTCATTTTCCGATATTTTCTCTGAGCTTTTGAAAGCTATACCGGGCTAAACAATTGCTCCTGAGTTTTAGAGGGTTGGGCGGTTCAATACATAAAATCAAATGCAATGACAAGACATTAACTTTTAATACGAAATGTTTTTCATGACCCAGATAAAAAAAAAATTGCAAATTTGGATTGGTATATTTTTAAAGTAAGAAATATTTCTTTTTTTCATAATTTTGACCAAAGTGGGGGTCTAAGGGTGCAAAGAAAGCAGCATAGAATGATACGAAGTACAAGATAAGGATTAGGTGAGCAGTTCCCTGTTCTTTGGGACTTATAATTTGCACAGCTTTTAGGCCCTAAGCATGTAGACAGCAACTATTTAAAGAAGAATAAAGAAAGAGACAAGAGATGCAACGAGTGGTGAAGACTGAAGAAAAGAGTGTGGAAGGGGCATTGGGCCTGGTTGAGCCCAGTGGGCTAGTAATGATGGATGTGACATTTTGGGAAGCTTAGGGGGAGGCAGAATGTTTTTGAGACGTGTGAGGGTGACAATGATATTATGACTTTAATTAATAAACGCAATTATAGGTTATCATAGGCAGCATCACAGGCCAAAAGTGATTCGCTTCACTTTCCCACCTTAGCTGCTCTTTAATTACACATAACATTCTGTCCGAAATACAAAAGAGAGAGCACATGTGGGTCATAACTTCCGGCCAGCGGACGCAGATTATTACTCCCTCTATCTTTTATTATAAAAAACAAATAACTAAATTACATTGATAAAAAAAACAGTTAAAATTAGTTGAGAACAATTAATATGTAAAAACTATAATATTTTTTCCAACAATGCCCCCATTAATGAGGAGAGAGAGTATGAGAGAGAACAATTAAATTATTAAAAGAAAGAAAAGTGGGAGGGAGAGAGAGTATGAGTTGGAGACAAAATAAATAGGAGTAAAATAGAAAATCAATACAAAAAAATAGAGACAACTTTTAAGTGTCTCTTATATATGGGAACATACCATAAGTATCAAATGTCTCTTATAATAAAGAACGGATGAAGTATTATTTTTTAATTTTTCCTTAATATTATAAAGAGCTTTTAAACCTCGTCCCTCCTCATCTCTAAATTATAGCTCCAGTACCCCTGCATGCAATAAGGCTATGCTAGACTTTCACCCTCTCTTTTTAGGCAGCATATGTGCCTGTGTGTGTGTACATGAGAATTATCTTTAGACTATAACTCTTTGAACTTGTAATCATAACAAATACACTCTGATTAAGAGGTTCATCTTCATGGAGAGGGCAGCTAAATCCTGGAGAATCTTGATTGAATATTGTATGAGTTTGTGTATGTGTAGTGTATATGGGATTCCTGTGTCCCAAATGATTTGTTTTCTCATCTTAATGGCTGTCCATGTGTTTATGATCATTTAGGTAAAGACAGCCTACATTCTCATTTCAACTATTGGGTCCCCCCCCCTCCTCCCTTCATTCCTTTTCCCTCCTTTCTTTAATAAAAATCCTAAGCTTGTGATTACATTGTAGCTTTCCCATTGATCCATGTCTGATAATTAATACATAAACAAATACAAGAAGTCCTCAAAATCACATTTCATCTTTTTATCCGCCTGTGACGCTGCCAGATCAAACTACAATTCAAAAAGTTCAAATCTTTGTCGAGTCTTCAATTTGTACGCAGTAACTCAAGAAGTTTAAATACACCCACGCTACGCAAAAACATTAAACTTGTCTGGACCATGACCCCAATTTAAATTTAGGATCACAAAATTTTTTTTTTTTAGAGTTTTGGTTTCATATTTAACGAACAATAAGTCAAATGCCACATGTCTTGCGCAACGACAAACTATTTACCTTCCCCATTTTAAGGAGCTTGGATTCCTTATGTTTGGACTTCATTAAAATCTCAGATTGAATAGAAAGCCTCACATTTTAAACAAAGTCTTTTATTTTATCGGAAAATGTAAATGAAGGAACTGCAGCAGCATGTGACGACTGATCAAACCCTTACAGAGACAAAATATTTATTAAATTAAAAGAAATAAAATAAAGCTTTTACGGATTCTTAGCTGTACACTGCCTCCGATATGATGCTCTCTCCTTCCAAAAGAAATATACATAAGTCACCATTCATCTTCAGAATTAGAACAACTAATTTCTGAATTGTAAGATCTTCTAAAACTTACATGTAAATAATTTCTTAAAACACCGCTTAGATTTTTTAAACAATAAAACATTTCAAAATTGATATTTTTCTGGTCATATCATAAATTTCTTATTATAAATATAGACAAACTCAACACTTGTAAATAAATTTTCTTAAAAAAAGCTTCCCGGAGTTCCTCACTGTCGCTATCAATCCTGTTATTTTGCACTATTTTTTTACTCTGTTTTGGAGTGCTCGCATGCAAAATACAGCGCGCGGACACACATAAAAAGGCATGTGAAAATGATAAACAAAACACAATATTTCCAAAGGCACAAAACCCGATAACTTTATTTGTAAATTGGATTCCCTGGGAAGGACCCAGCCATTTATTTATTTATTTTTGGGTACGAAAAGCCCCCAGCCTTTGATTGATCGGGAACTAATTTACAACCACAGTTAAAAACAGCCTTCGCTATAAAACCAAACCTCCCCCCACTCTCTCCTCCCTCATTCTTGTTCTCTCCACTTCATTTGACCACTGTCACCCTCTCTCCGGCGAAGGAAGTGATAGATGGAGTAGTGTCCGCTTGTTTGAACCCAAATGACTGCGACACTTCTTCCCCAGAGAGAACGGACTTCCTTGCTCAGATCTTCTTCCTCATGGCATTGTAACACGAGTTAGTGTGAAGTCTCTCTGAGACTGAACCACTATCCCATCCTTTCTCACTTTGGAGGACTGTGCTTTTTTGGTGTGGTAATGGCGGAAGCTGCGGAGACCAAAGCAGTGGCTGAGGCAGAGAAGAAGAAGGAGCAGAGTTTATCCTTTTATCAGCTCTTCTCTTTTGCGGATAAGTATGACTGGTTGCTCATGATCTCTGGGAGCGTGGGAGCTATTGTTCATGGCTCCTCCATGCCGGTTTTCTTTCTTCTTTTCGGTGAAATGGTTAACGGGTTTGGCAAGAACCAGATGGATTTGAAGAAAATGACGGAAGAAGTATCAAAGGTCATAAGCCCGCATTTCATTCAAATTTCTCTGATATCGATCTTTCTCTTTATAATGGCAAAATTTATCTCAGATCTGAGATTTAACAACTCTTCTTTCTTCTTTCGCTGATTCATTGCAGTATGCTCTGTATTTTGTGTACCTTGGCCTTGTCGTTTGCATATCATCGTATGCGGGTACGACATTTCTTTTTCATTTTTCCTCCTTAATTCATTTGTTTCTCCTTATAGATTTTGCTTGTCGTGAGCCATGAAGAAGATCGGTCGCACTTGTTGGTCCATACTTTTAGACTATATGACGAGTGGAGCCAATTCATATGAGAAGAGTGGGTGGGAGCCCACGTGTCTCATTAACATCACCATCGTCCTTTTTTTTTCTTCCCTCCTCAATATCACAACTTTAATCTTGCTTAATATTTCTTTGGTATCTCTGTCAAGTGTCAACCTCAAGTGGTTGGTTAATTAAGATACACATTTAATTAATTTCTTTAATTTAATTGTTTGAGCGACGATAACTGAATTACCTGCGGATTTACTCGGGGGGAAGATAACTTTTTTTTCTGCCGGTAATGGGTTTTTTGTTTCTATTCCAATGAACCAGAAATCGCTTGCTGGATGTATACCGGGGAGAGGCAAGTGAGCACGTTGAGGAAGAAGTATTTGGAGGCAGTGCTTAGACAGGACGTTGGTTTCTTCGACACGGACGCCAGAACAGGGGATATTGTTTTCAGTGTCTCCACTGATACTCTGCTTGTTCAAGATGCTATCAGCGAGAAGGTTCTGTGAATTTGAACTTCCTCTGTTTGATGGTTCCAATAAAAACATCTGCTGAATGAAGTTTATTGTGGGGGATGTGTGCAGGTAGGGAACTTCATACACTATCTCTCAACTTTTCTGGCGGGTTTAGTGGTTGGTTTTGTGTCGGCATGGAGGCTGGCGCTTCTGAGTGTGGCGGTGATTCCAGGCATTGCTTTTGCCGGTGGCTTGTACGCTTATACACTCACTGGCCTCACTTCAAAGAGTCGCCAATCTTATGCCAATGCCGGCATAATCGCCGAGCAGGTGAGCTTGATATCTGTAGAGCTTTTTCCTTCGACAATAATTTTCTTCTGGGTTTGAGGGAAAAGTTTTCTCTTTCCTCCTTTTTGGGTTCTGAGTGAGTGAGAGATATTCTGAGTGCAGTGAGCGCATGCTCTCTTTCCACATGAATTTGCACCCTGTGTTGAATTTTAGATGAAATGATGTTTTATCATGTGGAGCATTCACCAAAAAGCTCCTCGCTTTCAACTTTCTCAATAAAATATCAAAAACCATCATGACTTTCTTCTGCTGGTTCTGTACCATGTCGACAGGCTCCAGAATCTGAACTTAAACTACACTTTGTTATGGTATGCTAATATTTTAAGGGTAACACAACCTTATTGTACAAAAAATCCTTTACTGTTAGAGCTTGGCCATAATGTTCTTTCCATAACCATGACAGAAAAAATAATCAGGGCTTGAGGGTCTTGTTCTGTTTATTGGGGTGGGGATTAACCTCTATTTTCTGCAAAAATTATACAGGCAATTGCTCAAGTTCGAACTGTTTACTCATACGTTGGTGAGAGCAAGGCCCTTAATTCTTATTCTGATGCAATACAAAACACGCTGAAGCTGGGATACAAGGCTGGAATGGCCAAAGGTTTGGGTCTAGGATGCACATATGGGATAGCATGTATGTCCTGGGCTTTAGTCTTTTGGTATGCTGGCGTCTTTATCAGGAATGGACAGTCCGACGGAGGCAAGGCTTTTACCGCCATTTTCTCCGCCATTGTTGGTGGCATGTAAGACCCCTATTTCACGACTTTGATGATGGTTCTGTAATTCTATTGACTCATGTTCTAACCAAGCTTTTGCTCTGTACAGGAGTTTGGGGCAGTCGTTTTCTAATTTAGGGGCTTTCAGTAAAGGTAAAGCTGCAGGATTCAAGTTGATGGAGATAATCAAGCAGAGACCTTCCATAGTGGAAGACGCATCAGATGGAAAATGCTTGCCTGAGGTTCATGGGAATATCGAATTTAAAGATGTCACTTTCAGCTATCCATCCAGGCCCGATGTCATCATCTTTCGCGATTTCGCAATCTTTTTTCCTGCGGGGAAAACAGTGGCCGTTGTTGGCGGAAGTGGGTCTGGAAAGAGTACAGTGGTTTCACTGATAGAGAGGTTCTATGATCCTAATGAAGGTAACTACTAGACATGCTTTGCCATCTCTTCACAAAAATACCCAAGCTTTTTGGTTATTTATCTGACACTTGCTGCTTTTATTGGCCAAACAGGGCAGGTTTTACTGGATAATGTAGACATTAAGACGCTAGAGTTAAAATGGTTACGTAGTCAAATCGGGCTGGTGAATCAAGAACCTGCACTGTTTGCAACTAGCATTCATGAGAATATACTCTACGGAAAACCTGATGCAACCATGGCTGAAGTAGAAGCTGCTGCTTCTGCTGCAAACGCTCATAGCTTCATTACCTTGCTTCCAAATGGCTATAATACTCAGGTTGATACATAGCAAAACTCTTTTACTGTATCGAACTTCTGCATTCTTCCTCAAAATTAGGTGTAAAACCTATGCTCTTTGTGTTATGATAGGTGGGAGAGCGAGGAGTTCAATTATCAGGTGGTCAAAAACAGAGGATTGCAATAGCGAGAGCTATGTTGAAGAATCCAAAGATTCTTCTTTTAGATGAAGCCACCAGTGCTCTTGACGCAGGTTCTGAAAGTATTGTGCAAGAAGCACTGGACCGCCTTATGGTTGGTCGTACGACTGTAGTTGTCGCCCACCGTCTTTCCACCATAAGAAACGTAGACTCCATTGCCGTTATACAACAAGGACAAGTAGTTGAGACAGGGACGCATGAAGAGCTGATTGCCAAGGCCGGAACCTACGCGTCACTGATTAGATTCCAAGAAATGGTTGGAAACAGAGACTTGTCCAACCCATCAACTCGCCGGACTCGTTCATCTCGGTTGAGCCATTCGCTTTCGACCAAGTCTCTGAGCCTTCGGTCCGGGAGCTTGAGGAATCTGAGCTACCAGTACAGCACCGGTGCAGATGGTCGGATTGAGATGGTGTCAAATGCAGAAACGGACAAGAAAAATCCGGCTCCTCAGGGTTATTTCTTCCGACTGCTCAAGTTAAATGCCCCAGAGTGGCCCTACTCAATCATGGGAGCTGTAGGCTCTGTTCTTTCTGGGTTCATTGGCCCAACATTTGCCATTGTGATGAGCAATATGATCGAGGTATTTTACTATAAGAATTATGCATCCATGGAGAAAAAGACTAAGGAGTTTGTTTTCATATATATCGGAGCTGGTCTTTATGCCGTGGGTGCATATTTGATACAACATTACTTCTTCAGTATCATGGGGGAAAATCTCACCACAAGGGTTCGAAGAATGATGCTTGCCGGTATAATGTTTAATCTTACTTGACTATTGTACTAATATCTTGCAGTAGTTCTAATATTGGCCCATAAATGTGTGATGCAGCAATATTAAGGAATGAAGTTGGATGGTTCGATGAGGAGGAGCACAACTCAAGCCTGGTTGCAGCTAAGCTTGCGACGGATGCTGCTGATGTGAAGTCTGCTATTGCTGAGAGGATCTCAGTGATTCTGCAGAACATGACTTCTCTGCTAACTTCATTCATAGTTGCTTTTATCGTGGAATGGAGGGTTTCTTTGCTCATCCTCGCAACCTTCCCTTTACTGGTTCTGGCTAATTTTGCCCAGGTAAACTCATGTCTTTTTATGAAATGATATCCTTTTCTTGACCCTTTAGGTAACTTTGCACTTTCTTTGGTTAAGAATTTTTACCCCCTGTCAGAATCCAACTTTACATGCACCCTGCCATTAAACGACAAATGCAAAAGCGACAAGGTCTCACCAAAGTCGAACACTGCACGTGTTTCCTTCCAGTCAAAGCATTAACTCTTGCCATTTTTTTCTATTTTCAGTTTTAGATTCCATACCCTTTCCATCAGTTTCCATGCTAATGGCCTACTGCCACCGAATGTGCCCCCCAACAATCCATTGTCGGTTTTAATTTTTTAATAAAAAATTATAAATGTTTATTGAAAACACAAATTTTATAAGCACTTAGTCAAAACTACGTTTTAAATACTACTCGTATATGGCAATTTTAAAATCTAAAGTCTTTAGGATGGTAAAGCACATGTCCTGGAATACAATTTTTGCCTACGATTTGTGTGGGAACACGAACATCGACTTTGGTAGGCCTCTCACCCGTGATCTTTTCTATTTTTTTCACTGTGGGTCTAACTATGTATCTGTCTTGGGTTCTTTTCAACATGGAGCAGAGCGAGCAAGTTTCTGTAAGTTTGTTCTGAAATACAGAGCAGAGTTCAAAATTTGTGCAGGCTGTGATGGACACACAATGCTAGAATGATGTTGATTGGTCAATAATCTGCTTTTTGTAATCTATCGATGTCTTTTTAATGTAGGCATTCCCCTTCTACCGAATTGAACGGCCCCACTGACATTGAATAATAAATTTTCAATTCAATAAATGTTTGGTGACATTACCCAATTTTCCCTTCAATCAAATTAAATTACTGTTGCTCTTATTATTCCTACAGAATACGTCATACCCTGCCAACCTAAAATAGTAAACACTGGAAGTATTATGATTTTTGAATCGAATGGTCAACTTTGACTGACTGAAATTTGCAATTTTTGAATTGGACAGCAACTGTCACTGAAAGGGTTTGCAGGAGACACGGCGAAGGCACATGCAAAGACAAGTATGATCGCCGGAGAAGGAGTGAGCAACATCAGAACAGTCGCTGCTTTCAATGCTCAGAACAAGATCTTATCTCTCTTCTGCCACGAGCTTCGTGTCCCACAGCGCCGGAGCCTCCGTCGCAGCCAAACTTCCGGCCTCCTCTTCGGTGTCTCCCAGCTCGCTCTTTACGCCTCTGAAGCACTCATTCTCTGGTATGGTGCCCACCTCGTCAGCAAAGGTGTCTCCACCTTCTCCAAGGTCATCAAAGTTTTTGTCGTCCTCGTCATCACAGCTAATTCAGTTGCAGAAACTGTGAGTCTCGCTCCGGAGATCATCAGAGGTGGTGAAGCTGTCGGCTCCGTCTTCTCAATCCTCGACCGTCAAACGAGGATCGACCCAGATGATCCCGACGCCGACCCGGTGGAAACAGTTCGCGGAGAAATTGAACTCAGACACGTGGACTTCGCATACCCGTCACGACCCGACGTGATGGTGTTCAAAGATCTTAATCTCAGGATCCGCGCAGGGCAGAGTCAAGCTCTTGTGGGAGCAAGTGGGTCCGGCAAGAGTTCAGTGATCGCACTGATTGAACGTTTCTACGATCCAGTTGCAGGGAAAGTTATGATAGACGGAAGGGACGTTAAAAGACTAAATCTCAAGTCACTGAGGCTCAAGATCGGGCTAGTCCAACAAGAACCGGCCCTGTTCGCAGCAAGCATATTGGATAACATAGCCTACGGCAAAGAAGGCGCCACCGAAGCAGAGGTAATAGAAGCGGCGCGTGCAGCCAACGTGCACGCATTCGTGAGTAGTTTGCCAGAAGGCTACAAGACTCCAGTTGGGGAGAGAGGGGTTCAACTATCGGGGGGACAGAAACAGAGGATCGCCATAGCCAGGGCGGTTCTGAAGGACCCTGCAATACTGCTATTGGACGAGGCGACGAGTGCGCTTGATGCGGAGTCAGAATGTGTGCTTCAAGAAGCGTTAGAGAGGCTGATGAGGGGTCGAACCACCGTGCTTGTGGCTCACCGATTATCAACCATAAGAGGCGTCGACAGTATTGGGGTGGTGCAAGACGGACGCATCGTAGAACAGGGGAGCCACGGCGAGCTGGTTAGCCGACCGGAGGGCGCATATTCCAGACTCTTGCGGCTACAGCAGCATCGCATGTGAAGACCGTTATAATTTGATTTTATGAATATATGAAGACGACCTTGCTGGGGTTGATCGTTATGTTTGCGTAATTTAGTTGACCTAGTTCGTGCTCGTTTCTTCTGTAGATGTGGATAATGTGGGGATATGGGGGGTTTGTACGTTGAGGACAAAGTTGCTCTGTTTGCAATGGAGCCCACAGTATTTATAAAATTAATCACTCGACAATGGCGCAAATCATATTTTATCTGCTGGTAAAAATTAAAAAAATCATGTTTTATCTATCCGGAGCATTAAACTCAAGCTGGTTTCTGGACTTGCGTGCTAATTTTTTTTATATTTAATATAGCGAAGGAGACTCAAGAGATAATGTGTGCCCGCTGTAGAGAACGGTGGACATAGGAGTAGAGTTCAAAAATGAGCCGTAAATGTAGAACCACAAACCCTGCCATGTGACAGTAAAAAGGTTGCTGTGGAGATCACAATAAGATTATAAATTAAATGTATATAAATGATTAAAAAAAAAGTTAAAGTATATATTTGATCATTTAATTTTATCTAAGGTTTCAGTATGATTTCTTAACTTTAAAAAGTATATTTTTAGTCCTTTAATTCCAAAATTCTTAGTCTTAAATGATGATTTTTTTGTAATAGTTATAGTTGTTTTGAATATTAAACTTAATATGTTAGCATTTAGTAATATTTTATCAGTATTCAGCAGTTCAATATCATCATTTTTTGTCAAAAATTTTAGGATTAGATGACTAAAAATTTAATTTTTAAAGTTAATGGACCAAAATGAAATCTTGTGTAAAGTTAAAGGATTAAAAGTATATTTTAGCCTAAAAAAATTAAGTATGTAACCTAATGACAAGATTTTATTTTTGAAATTTTAATTTATGCAGAATAATATAAAATAAATTGTTTTGTATGCCTTTTTAATAGGAAAATAGGTAAAATTTACTTTAAAAAATTATTATTAGAACAACTTTTAATATATACAGAGGACATATAAGGCGATAGATTTTGAAACTACTCCTCCTATCTTAAATATAAAACTGGTTTCATATTTAAAAGTAGTATTTAACTTTTCAGTTTGTACATGGGTAGCAAATTATAACGCTGATCATGAGATGGATCAGACTTGAATCTAACGCTCACGGAAAAGGATGCTATGGTCATGATCTGATGTTTGCCGCAGAAAACTCAGAAAGAGATAAAGAGACTATAGCTGCAAATTGTGAGAAGACATGAGCAAGAAAGTGGGGCAGAGTAGAGAGGGCAAGTTTGATTAAGAAAATAAAGAATGAATAATTGAAACTTGAAAGCGTAATGCAGGGCAATGAGCAATAATGCAAGCCTGCAGGTATTTTCTGCATCCGCCAAATTATCAGACCGTCAAAAGGGATTGCCATTGACAGACGACTTTCTGTGGCTTTGGCAGAATGTTGCAGAAGGCGAGTGCTTGCACTGTTAGGTAGCCAGCAGCGAGTCATCATATTTGTGGGTGTGGCAGTTCAACTTCTGACTCGCCACTGCACCCTGCAAGCTCAGCCCATCTCTTCTTGTTCCCATCTCCCCTATGCCGGGTAGGGTGCGTAAAAGACTCCTTTGAATCCCATGTATAACAAACGGGAATTTTAACCTTCAATTCGCATTAGGTATTAGTACTTTTTCGATAAACCCGACCCCATTTGTGATATGAAAGTTTTCATGCAAGAGAGCAAGTTCAATATTGACCATGTTGGCAGTTAGTTTTTTCCTTTTCTTTTGGCTATTAAAGAGGGTTAGAGCTAGAGATAATAAAACAGACTGGCTCCCTAGTTATGGGCTAGCCCGTCGCGAGCTCGAGACCATACGAACTAGTCTTAAAAGGAATGTCTCATGGTGGGCTCTTATTTTACCAGTCTGCCTTGCTAAAGGGTTAGTTAGCCCGCCAATTTCCATCCTTTGTTTAAAATTTTTTTTACACATGTTTAAAAATTTTTAAATTAAATTATAAATTTTTATAGATCAAATAGTTCTTATTCTTATATTTTCATATAATTATATAATTAAATTAGCCTCAAAAGTTGAAATATAAACATATTAGTCATTGTTAATAGTTACTTTATTAGTATAAAAATGGTAAAATAATAAAGAAAATGAGAAATCAAATTTAGTATCAAAGTCTCTAATAAAATACAAAGTTACATGTAAATTAAATGAAAATGATAAAACTTTTTCTTATTAAAATTAAAATAAAAAATTGTAAAAAAAAATTTTAAAAATAAAAACAGGCTGGCAAGCTAACCCATGGTCGGTTATGGGTTGACAGGTACGGGTTGAAAATGATCGTATCAAAATAGTCTCTATTCTCTTTAACTCAATCTGTCATTGGCAGGTTGGCCTGTGGGCGCAAGCCATATTACCGGCTCTAGATAGAGCCTAAATTAGAAAAAAACTAAATCATGGGGAATTAGATCCCAAAGACTCTTTAAAAACTAACATCAGCAACTGTGACAGACTAATATCCAATAAAGAAGTTTTATAAGCATCTGCAAGCTGATTTTGTTCCCCTGAAATAACTTGGATTTTCAGGTCCTATGGATAATTGATTACACTCTAAATTTGGACAAAGATGAAACGTGTTCCCATGTAACTGATTCTGTTCTTTGACATATTCACAAGATTTTTTTCATCTGATTCTAAAATTTCCTTTTTAAAACCAAGGTCCCCCAAGCTAATTGTAGACTTCTAAGAATGCCCTATTCTTTAACGTCAAAGGCATCACAATAACCCCGAAAATAAGTAAATGCAGCAATCGACTTAATGATCACGAACAACTTCTCCACATCTTGCCTTGTTGTTTGAAGCAATCATGACCAAACAGCATGCTTGTTAAGGATATTAGCTAGCATTTGTCCCTTAAAAGTGGAAAAAGGAACGAGGGTCATGAAGGCAGAAACCCACAGATTCATGGGCTGAGTAATGGCTCCGTGGCCCAGCCATGAAAGTTCATCTCAGTCCACTGCTGACCTACATGCCTTGCCGATTCAACAACAGTGGGACAAAACAAAATACATTTCATGTCAAAACAAATGAAACGACGCCATTATATTGATGGAAGAATGAAGAATTTTGCACCTGGGAATTTATGGGAAGCGGAACAAAATCAAACCGCTAGCTGATGGCTAATTTGAAACGGACCATTTTATGGGTTCCCTCATCTGTGCAATCCCCATATGACTTTGGGACATCCGTTTTAAGAAAGATCTCGTGTCCGGATATTGTTGGAGACATTGTTATTTCTTGTCATGTCGGATCCCATCCTCATGGCTTTCATATTTCGATCATACACAACCCTCTTCTTCTGGATCTTACAAATTAAACGGCATATGGGCTGATGCGTTTCATACACAGAGCCAGTTTAAAGAATAAGGCACATTATTAATGGCTTTGGAAAATCATGCTATTTCCTATAGTATTATTGTATATATTGGCATCGACCGGGTGTTGAATAATATTTTTTTTGGTATGGTTATTCATCGCATTTATCTGGAGTTCCAAGTTAGAAGTAAAAAGCAATTTCATAATGAATTAATTAATGTCGCTGTCACGAAGCGTGTGTTTAAATCTACCAAGGTTCATATATTGAATCACAAAATTAAATGTCGGTGCTTAACTCATTGTATGTAATTTGACCAAAATAGTTAGTATACTAACCGATTTTTAACTTGTTTGATCTCTACTAAGCTTAACACGTCCAAACAATAAAATAATGAAGCAGAGAATTAATATATGCAGATCATTCAATAGTAACACTGCCGCCTTATCTCAAAGAAACCCGAAATAAAAAAGAAAAGAATTTTTTGTAGGTGGGTCTCATAAATCTCTTGAATGATCGCGTTGGGACCATTTATGTACTGATCATACGTAATTGCGTATACCTACTAGCTGTAGAATTATTGTTCGCAGAGCGAAACATAAAAAAGAAAAGATTTTTTAAATGAAAAAAAAAAATCTACTTCACTTTAGAATCATATTTACTCGTACATACAATATACGATAAGTGCATATCCTGATATGAGCGCTAGCTAACGCGCAAAAATATCTACAAGGAACAACAGTCAATAATACTACCTCATGTCCTTTTTTCTCTTTTTTGGCTTCTATCTCATGTCTTTAATATAATATCTAATTAACTAAATTAAATATATTAAAAAAATTTGTTAAGTTGGTTATTTATAATAAATAGATGTTATCTTTCCTAAAATATCTTGTTAATAATGTGTATTAGCTAAAACTACTATTTGATAAAACCTTTAATATGTATAACTACTACAATGACCATTTTTTTTAAAAAAAAAGGAATAATATGATAGACAAAGAGAATTGAGGTTTTATATTTAAAACTAAATTAAATATCAAATTGACTCTTATATTAAGTATAGCATTAGGAGTGTTTATGAGCAGGGCTGGGCAAGACATGCCCCCTACCCAATACTAAGCCTAAAAGAGCCCCACTCATAGAAACCCTAACCATTTCGGGCTGGGCAAAAGCGGGCTGGACTGGGCTGGCTTCCAAGCCCAAATGGTGATGCTTTGATGAAAAAATGTCTAGTTAAAGTGAGGGTATCTTATAACAACTATAAAAAAATGAATACTTGAACAAACAATAAATTCAACAAAACAATAGCTTTGATTTTCCTTAAATCAATATATCTTTTAATACAACACCAAAGTGAACTTGCTTTTGCATCTTTGCAAGACAACCAACATAAAAACATTAAAAAAAAAAAAAATCAATCCCAAGCCTTCAACAACAACAACAACCAGCAATAAAACTTTCAGACATGTGATTACATCAATGAATAAACAAAATTCTCAAGCATAACATAACACCATGGTTTGTGTGGATTTTTGCGTTATCTTGGTAAGTGTCTCTTTAAAGACATCATGCCTTGTTTCATTGAGTCACCAGCAAAATGTGCATTACAATAGTTACATGCAGCTCTAATCTTTCCATTTGTATCCTCTAATAGTAACTTGGTAAAATAATCCCACACTTTTAATTGTTGCATATCCATAGCTTTAAAAAGATAAAACACAAATAAATTACTAATGAGAATAACATTACACAATAACATGGAATTTGGTAACATAACAAATAACATAATAAGTAGTAAAATCTTGTACTTGAAAGTCAAAAGGAGTGCAAAAGGTTATAATAATACAATAGCATAACAAGTTGTGATGACAATATGCAAATATTTCACTAAAATGATGCCATCACTAGACTAGAAATAAAATAGTCACAATTTTGTAAGAAAAAGGAAATTATAATTTGTTTTAAAATATGAAAAAGATAGGAGAATACCAGTCAAATTTCTTATTTGCATAATAGCCAGAGGAGGTCTTATTAAAACTCTAATTAAAACAGGAGTTTAATTGTTCTTGACTATCTAAATTAGTCATTAGTTCAAGCTGTGCCATTTATCACAATTATAGTTGCAAATAGTACCTACTAGGTAGGATTAACTTTACCTAAACATTTTTTATCAGAAAAAAATTTGTTTCTATTTATAACAGGAAAAAGAGAAGAATTTATGTACACCACTAAATGTATCTAGAGCAAATCGAAAAAGGAGAATAATATATATTATTATATACATTCCTGGAAAAAAAAAATTATAAATATATATCACGGGCAGGGTAGCATGCCCTGCCCTTGATATGCCAAGTCCAAAAATGTCCATTTTTTTTTGAATTGGACTGGGCAATTTTTTTCTGGGCTCAAGTAGATACACTAGGCCAAGGGGCTCGCTAAACACCTTTGCACAGCATATGTGTATCTAAAGTGGTTGCAAATTATATATGGAGAGGAATATAATGTGGAGACAATGCAAGATGTTTGGAAAGGAATAGAAGAGAAAAGTGAAGAATTAAAGAGGAGGTAGCTAGCGAGTGAACTTTCACTTTAATGATAGGCTCCTGAAAAGGAGAAGCAAGTGATGCAATGTACGTTCAACGAAACCGGAAACGAAGGGAAGGAAAAGGAAGGTGAAAAGCCATTTTCAGAGCACTAGATTTTGGGGAACAACTTTTTTCTATCATCATGGCTTAAAAGCATACAACTAATATATATATATATATATATATATATAGTAATACTTTATTAGCAGAGCTTCATACACACACACACATATATAAATATATATCCCACCCATCAAATTAAATTTTGTCCCACAAACACTGTGGGGATCCTGCAGTCCTTTGAACAAGGACCCATTAATAATGTTTCTGTTACGAAATACCTAACTTATCTCACAAATCAACACCCTCATAATTACCGCCTTCCCTTTTCCTTCTAATCCTTCCTTTTCAATGTCTCCGACATAACAAAACATAAAGTCTCTATTTCACAACGCAGATTGCTCCCTCTTGATTCCTTGAATCCAGGACTTCATCTATATATATAGCAGCATTTTGGATACATAATCCAGTATTTTATTTATTCGGTGTATATATAAATATATCATACAAGTCTTTTATATTGGACCAAGGTAATTAAGCAGTGCACTAGTTAATTAAGTGGTTAAAGGGTCAGATTTAAGAGGTGTCATTATCTATAATATGATCATGACTAACGTAACGTTAGGCACTGTACAGTTTACATAAATCATGCACAAGGGTTGACTTTGGTTAGAGTTAGAGAAATTAACGATATCCAATGTGAGTTGAAACTGACTAATACAGCATAATATCTTTCATCGAATAGGACTCCAAAAACGACTACCTCAACAGTAATTTCCACTAATAAGTTTCAAATCAAATGACCTGAAGCCATAATAAGGTTTAAAGTCATCATGCGTGATGGAAAATTGGTCGGAAACCGGAAGAACCACACCCTGCACGATAAAAAGAGTTCCTCCCTAATTGTCCGATCGATTTTCAATTTATGCTTGAAATTAAAGTTAATAATAGTATTTCTCTCACAAACTCCTCCATCAATTCTCTAATTGATTTCCTGGTTCGTTACCTTTCTCAGGAAGAAATTAAATAAGCATCTAAAAAGTCTTGCCCCCTCCATCCTTACTACTCTTCCGATCCTAAATATAAAACCATTATAAGTTCTAAATATAAGACCCTTATACTAGTGTATATAAGGGTCTTATATTTAGGACCGGAGGAGTATTTTTTTTCCTTTTCCCTTCATGTTTTCGACAAAGTTCAGGAGTGAGAGTGCCTCTGTAGGTATAACGACCGAGGGTGGTTGGTGAAAATTGAGAATCGTTGGGTCAATGATCATGAAGACAATGATTTATTATCTAAATAATGGTGCTCAGTGGCGTCAGTAGTTCCTCAAAATCCGTTAGACTTACCAACTAGTAAAAATCAAATCCCCAGGAGGAGGCCGGCAGTGGGATCAAAGCTATGATTAACATAAAAAGACGCATTTAAATTGGATTAGAGAAAAAAGTTGACGACGCATGCATGGTCCAAAAACCAGATTTTAACGAACTGTTGGCGATTCAAGTGCTCTTATATATATAAATCATATTTTATTCTTCAATGAAGAGCAAAATTAATTAAAGGGCTTGTTAATTATTAGGCCCCTTAATGATTAAAAGCACTTAAGCGTGGCAACATGTACTGCACTTTCCCTATAGAATCGGATTGAAAGAAATAGTTTTTCTTGAAATTTAAGTTAATTAACTAGAGAATTAGCTACGCATGCATCGCCACAAGGAGGAGAGACAAAGTTTGAGAAGGTACTTTTTTAATTTTTGCTTGATTTCCTTTATGACCTTATGGGCTTGTTGTGATTCCTCATGATCAATTCCAGCAGAATTGCAACTACCAACTTCTTGTCGGGTTTCAATAAGTCTATGCTTTGGGATCATCCGCGGGTGAACCTTTTTGACCCCAGTGGAGAAATTAAATGATTAAAGCTATTCTTATTGAGCAAGATTAGTGGAGAATATATGTGCAGGAAATATATAAACTTGATAGCCCATATTGGTTTACCAAATCTTCATTCATTCTTCAGCCCCCCTATTCTCTCGCGATCGAAGTGATTACAAAAAGAGTTTTCTGTTCACCACTTTGTTCCTTTTTCGATCATCCTTAATTCTCCCCAGGAATATTCTTGTACAGAAAAATGCATTTAGGTTTCATTTTCGTTGTCTTTAAGGTTGAGTCTATTGGAAGACGTTGCTTCATGTTATATAGTAAAACTTGTAATTATTTGCAATATTTTGAATCATTAATGCTCCCTCCTCAATATTAGAACCATTTCAGTCACCAATAAGTTTTAAATTCAAATCTCAATAAGAAATCCCCTGGTTCCCTATGTGTGTATATGGGGGGGGGGGGGAAATATCAGAAGTACACTAGTCAATAATATAAACGAGTGGGGCCTTTGGGCGAGGCTGCTTTTGAATATTATTTTAGACGAATCCATTCAAAGGTGCTTGATATCAAACACCATATGATTTGCATTAGCATATGCACTACTATACTGTGCTTCGGATATAGGTGCCATATCAGATGGTTCTGCATGAGTATAATCAATGCAATCGACACCAATAAAGCAATCTAAATTAATTAAAATAGCATATCAGATTATTAATCAGATGGATCTGATGATAATTTATGTGTTGCTCAAATCCCACAGAGCTTACACGTAGCTTTTTGTTTCTCAAGGTAAGAATAGACATATATATGCAATTACCACTCAAAAGACCGCAAATATTTGACACGTAAGTACGGTCTATACACACACATATATATAAGCTCGAACTTCAATTAGTTGGTAATATCCTGCAGTGTTTTGGAAAGAGGAATTGGAGGAAAATGAAAGGCTTAATTAATATATGAAAGAGGTCCCCGCTAGCTCACATATCAGCTGAACCCTGCACGTGATCATGTTTTGGAAAACCATGCAATTTCCACCCATGCTTTCTTCCTCCTAGTGCATTATAAATTCGTACTGAGGGTCGAGACATGCCACGTGGCTTGCCTTGTGAACCAGGGAAGCAGCATGTGACCCCAGCCCCTTACGCCTCTCTCACGCCACTGCAACAAGAAGAAAGCTGGGCGAAACTGGCAGCACATAAAATTTTAATGTCTATGCCAGAAAAGGTTGCACGAACATGGAGTAACGCTTAATTTACTTCCTCCCTAACACCATACATGCAAGACTTCTCAGCTAATCGCGTTCCAAGTGACTTAAATATTTACTTAATATGGTGAATATAATGATTATGCAGGAGATATTATATTTAGAAAGAGGGCATCAAAGTCAATGTGAGACCACCTTTCTATCCATCTTGTGAGGGGATCGACTAATACTGTTTGCCATGTAATTAATTGCTCTCAAGTGATGTAGTTTCATACAGATAGCTAGGAGCTAGCCATGAACATGCTGAAGCTAAATTATTGATTATAAAGCAGCTTTAGGTCCGTGACGTGAAATAATGTGATCGAGTGATTAGGAGAAGGAAACCGAGCACATATATATACACCATGCATATATACATACATATAGGCACAGCAGTGTGAAATGGAGGATGGTTTGGTATATATATATTTATGTTGAAAATATGATCACATGGTGTAGCGGCATAGGGACATGTCGAGGGAGGCCCACATTGTTAGGTAAAAAACAAGCACGTTCCAAGAAGGCCACTTGAAATAAAACCCCAATATGGGAACACTCACACAGACACAGAGAAGAAGAAACCTATGGCCATCCCTCACTCCTAGTCCTTTTCTCTGCCCTCTCTTCTGCAGTTGTTTTCCTCACATCCAACAACGCTGTCTCTCTGATTGTACTGCGCCTCCTGACTCTCTCATCCCCTCCCTTTCCCTTCTTTTCTGGCCCTCTGATTTCTCTCCTCTTTTCCCCCCCTTCTCCACTTTTCTTCATCATTTTCTGCCTTGTTCCAACCTCCTCTAGCTCTCTTGCTTACTATATATCTTGCGCTATACTCCCGATCCCTCTCGCCTTAGCCTGACTCAGCCTCCGAGGCTTCAACTTGCACACACACACAGAGAAGGCAATCGTGTTCTTATCTTTAGTGAAATGTCTAGCAGAAGGTCCAGGCAACAATCTTCATCAGGGTCTTCAACAATCTCCGATGACCAAATCATCCAACTTGTTTCCCAGTTGCGTCAACTTGTTCCTGAGATTCGCGATACTCGCCGCTCTAACAAGGTACTTCCTTGCTCTCTCGCTCGTTGACACATTATATAAGTATATATTCCTTATAGCTAGCTACTTCAAGCACACAATAGTAGCATAAAAACAAGGATAATAGAGAGCATCAAATGCTGTTATACTGTGTTACTGCGTACTGCCGCAGAAACGAGCTAGTATAATGCGAATATACTGGGAAGGCCTGTGTGTATGAGTAATATTTTAAAGTATAAGTTAAATGTGTCAAGGGCGAATATGCTGGGAAGGCCCGTATGTATGAGTACATATTTTAAACTATAAATTAAATGTGCCAAGGGATGGCTCAAAATTGACCCATTTGTTTATATATTCTAAGGGCGTACCTTCCATTCAACCGCAAAATATATGCAGAGATCTCAATACACGTCAAAGGCGGGTTCACATTAAATAATGGCATCGCTGTCTGTCTGTTTAGTTACGGGAAGTTTCATTTCCCACTTGGAAATTTAACGCACATCATCTATCTGTCCCAAATAATATACATATTTTGTATATTATCATTGTTAATCTTTTTATAAATAAGTTTTCAATAGTTTGGTAAATTAAATTTTCTATGTAGTAAACGACTACACGTGCATAGAAAAGGATGGTGTACACATACATGAAATCAACGCAAAACCCGGGAAGAAAAGGACCTCAGAAAAGCTGTCTGTACCATATTACCCCAGGTCTTGACCAAGTGTCTTTCGTGAAATGAAACTTCCTTTGTCGTCCTAGCACTAGCACAACGCGTGCAGTACATATATACTACCTTCCGTTATAATTATAAGACTTCGTTTATAGACTATAAATAAGATTTTATAATTAGGACTGGAAATAGTATATATATATCTCATTTTTTGTTTGTAACTCTGCTGAGAATATGTATTGCTTCAGTTGGGTCAGACGCCCCAAATGAAAAGGCCACAACACATAAACACACGCAGATATAGGCATGCATATGATGAGTGAGTTTAATTAATGAATTAATTTGCGGTGCAGGCATCTGCATCAAAGGTCCTACAAGAGACCTGCAACTACATCAGAAGCTTAAACAGAGAAGTGGACGACTTGAGCCAGCGACTCTCTCAGTTGTTGGCCACAATCGATGCTGACAGTGCCGAGGCTGCCATCATTAGGAGCCTCATTAATCCTTAAACGACATGTAATGTTTCCTTATTCAATTCAGATCATATATATATACATATATATATATATATATAAGTGAGTACGTACTCCCCTTTCTAGGTGGAGATACTTTTGAGTTCAGTGTGGAGGGGTGGGGGTGCCTCTATAGTATGGCACCTGGAGTACTTTGTTTTTATAATAAATCAAGTTAAGGCACTTTGTATTAGCTCTATCCATGACTGATCTGTGCCTGTCGTATCTCTGTGGACATATAGTATATGTATGGCCCAAAAGTAGTTTCCTTTTATGAAGCTTTCCAGTGATCTGCTTTGCTTAGAGAATGGAGGCTTGAATATGTCAGAATTGCAAGAGAGGTGCATGTGTAACTGATGATAAATTATCGAGAGTTTTTTTGGGGCTTATGTATATAAATTATTGATTGGTTGGCATGGATAAATCGATATATATATATAGTAGTATTTTATAGACGGGTTTATTAATTACTTTTTGAGATTTGTCCGGCAAAGTTGGGCTCAAGTTTCTACAATGCTAATGGAGAAGCTTAAGCGGAAAAGTGTTGACAAGAATATTGTGATTTGATCAAAACGTTAAATGGTTCCCCAGAAAACATCAGGCATTAATGTTCTAAACCTTTTGAGATTGACGGCTAATTATAACGAGTGCACTATTTTATTTCAAAATTATAAATAATCTGGACGACAAGAATGGGGAACTGAGTTGATGAGAGAGCGAAAGGATTGAGAGGGTAAATTTAAAATCTGATCGACAAGAATTCGACAGACACGCTTTCCCCCGCCTTTCTTGTTTTCACCCTTTGTATCTTTCCAAGAGAATTGGACAAATTGACTTGCCAGTCAACAGTTAAGTGATCTGGACGACAGAAAAAATAGGAATAATTTACTTAAATATCTCATAATATTCGTGAAGGAGTACTCATTATTACTTGAAAGTTTTTGTTAGTTCTCATATATCCTGAAAGTTTATTTTTAAAGCAAAAATACCCTCTATCTACTGTTAAGTTTGATGATTAAATTATGTAGTTTGAGCATTATCTTTAACGATCAAACCTAATGGCGGATAATAATTTAGAATAGATAAATTATGAAATAAAATTTTCAGGGTATATAAGAGTAAAAAAAAACCTCCCAATAGTGGGTGCTCTTTTTTTTGGATACTTTTGGGATATTTAATCACTTTATTCCAAAAAAAAAATTATATGATGCCGTTTGAATTATATATATATATATATATATGGCATAAAATGTTGGGGGGCCAACAATGTTTCTGGGTTTGTGAAGGGTGTGTTCATGAGCATCAGTTTACACAACGAATATATAAGATCAGGTAACAGTTACAATAATAATGAGCTAGTCATTAATGCGTATGTGAAAGGGAAGAATTGTTGGATATTACATACTAATGTAGTTGAAACGCGGACCACAAAATTGTGATATTGAGGAGGCAACTTGCATGAAACCATCCGACCAGATTGTGACAGCAAACTCCCCGAGACGTATGAAAACGACCCCACCTTTGTGGTCCTCCACACAAACCCATGGGCCTCAGTCTCCCAGCCCAAATCTATAGCCCATTTTGAAAGTATGACAGCCCATTGTTGCAACCGAGAGATAGGGAGGTCCTATAAGGCTATGGGCTCATTGTCTGAATCGGTGGCCCAAAAAGAGAGTTCCTCTAAAGCACCTCATGGGGCTTGACGTTGGTGGTGTGATTGAGGAGGGGAAATGAAAAGATGGGAGGCTATGATTCCCGTTTATATCCGTCTGAGCAATGCGTAGAAGTGGTTTTGTATCAGACGGCAAATGCCAAATGAACAAAGCAAAAGAAAGCGGGGGACAAAAGAAAAAAAACGAAGAGGGGCAAGGAAATAATTTTCCAGGATACGCCGTCCGCTCCCAAACCGGCCCAAAAGAGAGGTACTTTTTTTTTTTGATCTGAAAAAGAGAGGTACTTTAAAGCACCTCATTGGAGGATGCATGGCATCAATCATCATATATATATATATATATGTCCGTGTGTGTGCACGATCTCGAACCCGAGACGCCATGGAATGCTCACGAAGAACACGTCCAGAAAAGCCACGGGAGAAACGCGCACCACGGGATCTGTTTTGACATTATAATACCATATAACGCCATTAACAAATGAAGGCGGGCTCATAACAGGAAGACGCAAGCCTGAAAGTTTCAGCCCCTGGTCTGCCATCACTGGCAATTAAAAGGAAAGATAACAATACATTCAAAATTATTTTGTGATTTACTTCCCAATCAAACAATTTCTACATGCCTTTAAACAAGGTTCATTGTGGCTTCAAGGATTTACCATCTTTTAAAAATAAAATATTTAAATTTAGAAAAATTATGTTACATCCGATCTTTAATATAAGATCTAATTGCTAAATTTGGAGAGAATAATAAAATTAGTTGAATTAGTTATTTCTAGTAAATTAGCATTATCTTTCCTAGAATACTCTTCTTAATCATGTGTATTAGTTAAAACTATTATTTAATGAAACATTTAATATGTGCAATTATTATAAGAACTATTTTTAAAAAATAAATAGATATAAAAAACAAAGTGAATTAGAATTTTATATTTAAGATCAAATAAAAAATTAAATTAACTCTTATATTAAAAACCGGATAATATGTATGTGTGTGTGAAGAGTTTAAAAGTTAATCTGCCAAGTGAATATTCAGTCACGTGACATGGAAATCTCATCAAGTAGTCATGGGTCAAATAATCTAAATTCCATCCAAATAATATGGGGATAACACCCACCCCCCTCCCACAAAAAAAAAAAAAAAAAAGGCCCGACGACATGAATAAATTCGAAGAAAATTTTTGAGATTGATATTAAGAAAACATGCATTTTTCTTAAATTCAGGCGTAATTTGTTTAGATTAGGGTTGGCCTGAAACACCTGCATTTTTAAAAAGAAAAAGGAGATCCAGAAACTGGCCTTCTTCATTTCAGTCTCATCAACTTCAGAAACTAGGGGTGAGCAACAAACCCTATTACCCGCTAGTCCGCCCATGACCTATAAAATTTTTGCCCATTTAAGTCCCCCAATTAGCCCAAATAAGATATTATAAACGGGCGGGCTTAAATGGGCGGGATAGCCCATTAAACGGGTTGGGTTATGAGCAAGGTATTGGACTGCCCATACCCGCCTGTTTAAGTTTTAATTTTTTTAAAATATTTTTATTCTTAATTTAATTGATGATATTGTTTCTCATTCATCTTTTATCAAATCTTCATGCTTGTTTAAGCTTTTATTTTATCCTTTAGGTAAAAGTTGGCACTTTCAAAGTTTATGAGACTTTATGATTAGGGACTACTTTTATGATTTTATCAGACTTTGATTGTTTATGAATCTAAGTGAAGTTGTGTGATTGAATATGGTTGATGTTATTTTATATTTGATTTGCTATTTAGCATACAAAATTTATTGATAGCTTCATAAGGTTACATATACAAAATAACTATACTGAAAAAAATTTATAAAAAAAATAAATGGGTTACCCCATAACCCATTTAATACGAGCTAAATAGGCTACTACCAGGTTATGGGTTAGCCCATGCCCATTTATGAATAGATGGGCGAGCTATGGGCTAACCTTCGGGTTAGCGCACCCCGCCCATTATTCAATCCTATCAGAAACGGTTTCCTTCGTCTTCTTCGCTTGCTATAATTCCCTCTTCCTCTTATTTCTTATTTCTTTTTTTTTTCCCTACCGATGTCGCTACAGAAAAGAAATTTTCAAAAAATATTGTTCTGACTTCTTGAATGCAGCCTTCGCTAATTAAAAAAAAATTAAGATGAAGCAGGATCGTAGCCCAAAACGCCTTATTCTTTTTCTAGGTATGGGGTGAATGTGGCATAACAAATATTTATTTATTGGTTAATAAAAAGAGGGGCATCTAAGAATACCTCATGATAATTTCCTGTGACCCTTCTTGTGTCATTTTCCCCACTGCATCTTGAATCCGCAACGGTCCAGTGTTCCAATTCCAAGAACTTCCACCAGAAAGCCGCGGAAGAGAGCAGTGACCCTTGGGCCAACTAAAAACAAATAGCTTGACGAGGAAACAATAAACAATAAACAGCGTTTGGAAAGCAGAAACCGAGGCGTCTTCCCAAATGTCTTGACGGCGTTAACCCCCCGCGGGCCCCACCCAATAACTTTGCCATGTGTTTTGTACTTTTATACTCCCTGTTCATTTACATTTATAAGTTATTCAAGAGAGAGAACCGCAAATAAAGACTCGTAATAGGTGAAATTATGATTTGAGATTCTTAATTTGAAGAATAGTAAATAAAGACCTAATTTTATATTACAAATATAAAATCTTGGTAAAATGTTTAAAATATCTCTCGATCAAGTGACAAGTTGATTATGAAAAATAACAAGTTCACTTTAACAAATGATAATTTTAGTAAATCAAATCACAACTTGGCTGAAGGTATGCCAATTAATAAGTTGACTATGGGAAATGACAAATTCACTTTAGCTAATAACAACTTTAATAGACCAAATGATAACTTGGCTGAGGAACATTTCAGACATTTCACCAAGATTTCATATTTGTAATATGAGATCAGGTCTTTATTTGCTATTTTTCAGATTGACGATCCCAAATCATAATTTCACATATTAAGGGGTCTTTATTTGCTATGTTTTCTATTCAAAATCCAGAAACATTTTTAAATCGCATTAAATCAGTTTCAAAATTTAATTACTTTTATCAAGGAAGAACAATATTTTTTTTTTTTTAAAAGTAAAACTGTAGAGATATTTTGATAAGAATAACTAATTTTAACTATTTTTGTGTGAAAATTGTTGAACATCTTTTATAGAAAATACCAGAGGAGTTCTCTACGGAGCATAGCAATAATATAATAGGCTTGGTTTTTGCTACAACCAAGCTCACTGGACTTTGATTTTGTCACCTCATTTTGAAGGGATCATCACTATCAGAACTAATTGATATTATTATGCCAATCTTAATTAATTTGCCCTCTGTTTTATTAAAGGCATCTGATCCAATCAAACCTATTCCTCTGTTTTGGCTTTGCCGCTGCCGGCCAAAGTCTGGTGTCCGAGAAAGTTACTCTTTACCGTTTCATAATTTCATTAGCCTTGATTAGGGCAACGACAAAATACAAGCACCTCTCTCATATAATCTCAAATCTTAGAAAGATGTAACATTGAACATGATCTAACTCAGCAAAATATAAATATAAATATATTATCTGATCTTTGATCAGTGATATTAATAACGGGCCATGATATACCCACCTACGGCTGTTCAAATATCCCTTCAAAGAGGCCCCTGTAATTATCTAATCTATGAAACACTTGCAAACCAATTGTGATTTTGATTAGATTGCAAGAATTCACGTAGCATAGTGATATAATTTATCTGTCTTCGCAGGCCCCATATGTTAACATGATGAAAAGGGGGCACAAGTTGGTAAGATCTAAGTTGGCTATAGCTTGTTTGGAACTCTTTATCTTTGTATCATTTTGGTGTTGCTTAGTGAGTACGTCCTTTTGCAAATGGCACCACATGCAATTCAAATCCATTATTTGGTCAATTATTCCACATAATTTAGTTAGTTAACCATAATAGATTTAAAAGTGTTTCTCAGCCTCTGGTCAAAAAGTGATGATTTTTATTGTTTCAGTCCAGAAACACCCGCTTGTGATGGCTGGGTTCCTTGGTTATATCATCACAAATTTCATATTCATGGACTCAATTTTCTGTTGGCCTAGACGTAAATGGTTGCGGAGAACGATGAAATGAAACATACAGAGAATTATCCTTCATGGGTATACTAAAGAACCATAGTCGCTTCCTTGTGAAACTTGTTAAACACTTAAAATACTGCCTCTGGGACGAAAATGATGAACTGAGTCAATAAAATAACTAGGCACGCAGACACTTTTTTCTGCAAAAGGAGTCCTTTGAAAATTGTTTTTCATAAAGTTTACAATAATCGATTCAACTTCCCCCTACTGACGGTCATCCAATATTATATTAATAGGGGTGGGGGAGGGGGTGAAAGGTGTGCGAGTGACTTTTATCTTTAATGAGTAGAGGCCATCGCTTTGTAGCGAAAAGACGGACAAACATAGTGGCGCATTGAGTTCAGAAACCCCACCACCGCCTGGAGTGTACTCTGTAATTGCTAGCACAGAGTAGGTTCAACTCAAAGGCTAAGGAAAAGGGCATTCAAGTGCACCATGCATGTATGGCTTTAATCATCAATGAGAAGGGAGAAGGAAGAAAAGATTGATTGTGAATTGCAGGAGTGTGATGTTAATATTATAGTTTTGCAAGAAAGTGAATAGTATACAAGCCTCTGTTTCGTCTGAGACTGATTAGAATTCAGCATTCCAAGAGATGACTGTACAACAAAAACTCACAGGACAAGGTGGGGAAAACCCAGCAGGCTAAGCACAAATATTGGATTAAATAACAGTGGATATTAAAAGGTAGGAATCATTAGAAGCAGATTGGGCAGCGGATTAGTCCATTTTCATTACAGTCAGGACAACGCTGGAATCCATAGCCAGCCACTTCACCGTCTTCTTCTTCCTCATCACCTTCATAATAGATTTTACAGCTTCCTGAACAGGTTTCACAAAGCACAAACCTTATGTCTCCACAACCCTCACAGACTCCTTCACCATCATTGATCTTCTCACAACGATCAAGTAATTTCTCAAGATGCCCATCTTCATGCAATTTCCGAATTTCCTCGACGCCACCGATGTAATTGTTTCCGACAAACACCCTCGGCAATCCTCCCCGATAAATTTTATCGCCTAATAGCTCTTTGAGCTCCTCCTTGAACCCAGAATGCATGGATACATCACGCTCATCCACTCGAACACCCAATCCTTTTAGAATGACCCTCACATGGGAACAATCCTCGTACGTCTTTCTTATCCCGCGTAGGCTTGTGAAATACACAACCACCCTGTCCTTCCCACACGACAGAGGCTCAAAATCAATAACATCGCCGTTGATTTTGGTTTCTTCTGTGAAATCATAGGATAAGTTTTTTCTATCCAGCGTGCGACGGTGAAATGGGATATCTGGAGAGAGTTGCTGCGATGACTTCCTGAAGGAGGAAATCGCTTCAGGATCAAAATCTGGTACGTTGGACTTGAGGCTCGGCTCATCCTCTGTTCTTTGAAGCCACATGTACATGGGCTTGTGCTCACGGGCAGGAGCAGGAATCGGATGCGAATGGACATCAAAAGAGAAGCTTCGGAAGTGATTGGGTGATCGGAGAGGGCTCATGTCTTCAAGGCCTTCCATTAATTCCCATGTGTTGATGGTCTCTGGTTCTCCGGGAGGTGTTTCTACCGGAGTCCTGGGAATAACCTGTGATATTTTCTGATCAATGCTATTAGACCATGTCTTGGCCTCAGTTAACTCCTTTGAGAATTCTTTGATATTGGTTTCCTTCTCCAGCAAACCGCCATTAGAAAACCCGATGCCATTTTGGTGACTGTTATCAAAAGCCTTGTGACTCAAATCGAGCTTGAGTGATCCAAAGGTAGAAGAGGTCAGCCCCACGAGATGATGGCTGTCGTCTTTGCTCTGAGGTGGGTGATGTACGTGCATTGAGTAGCTTCTCGGAACAGGGGAATAAGGCGCGTTGCAATGGCGGCATCTCTTTTCCTTGGAACTAGCACAACCCATGATCACCCAAAAACGGAAAAAAAAAAAATCTCAACTTTGGCCGTTAAAATGATCGGGAGGATTATTAAATGCAACGATGACGCAAACGCAGTGAAACGGCGAAACCCACAGAAAGAGTATTCATTAGCACAGCGCAATCCAGAAACAGTCACACCCAATTAGCTTGCATAATTGAAGCATGTGGAGCATATATGAAACTGACGATCGATATGATACAGCCCATTCATGAGGAGTACGGTGATTGTTGAGCAGCAGGGGATTGTTGGTGGAGGTTAAGACAATCTAATTGCGACAAAAAAGAAGCAGAACAAGGAGGAGGATGGGAGACGAGTAATTAAGCTCACAGTTGGGACTAGAACGAGACTTTTATAATGAAGCTCACCGAAGAAAATGAATAGGGAGAGCCAAGTGTGAAGAGTTTTTGGAAGGTGCAATTATAGGTCCAAGTGAGTGGAAAGGGCATGGGAGAGAGAAGCACGTGAGGGCACGTGGACAAAGGCTCTTTCCAGATTTCGCAAGCAGTCCTTGAGGAGTTTGCTTGCTGCCCCAATTATGAGTGCAGCTGATCGGGCAGGCACTCTAGTCCCCACACTTCCATATGCCTCTATAGAGTATAGTCTATATAATACCAATCTTCGTCTTTTTTCCTCCGCTTTTTCCTTTTATCATTTCTCCTTTCTATTTTATTGTTATGAATCCTTTCTGAGGAAAACCCACCTTGTCGTTTTCTCCATAAAATATTTTTGTTTTGATGACAAATTTTAGATATTTCCATCCCGGCTAGTACAAGGCATGATATGATAAAAGAAAAACGGGATGGATTAATCCACTTTTTGATGCTTGATACAAATAATATAGTCATTAGTGTCAAATTACAGAGAAAGAAGATGGGGAAAAGGAGAGTCATCAAGGAGATTCCATAAACTTTAAACAGCAAATAAACATGATTTATTAAGTTTTGTCACGGAAAGGCTCATCATTATTTCAGCAAAAGCACCCCTCCATTGCAAACCTATTTTAAACCAATTAATATGATTTCTCTCTTTTAACTTTGTTCATGCATTCTGATTTCAAACTCTTCTGGTGGGACAATTCTTCTTCCAATTAATGAATCATTTATTTCCGTGTTTCCATTTTCAAGTTAATATATATAGATATTAATAATAATAATAATGATAATATTTGAAGTAGTAGAGAAATTTATTTGGGTGAATGATTTGAATATATTAATTTATTAGACGAATCATGTAAAAAATATTTATATATATATATTCCTTACTTTGAGAATAATTGTAGGGATCTTCTTATAAATGAAAGTGTGTGAATCCCTTCTCCCTACGTTTCATGCACTCATTTCTCTCTCTTCCCTAGGTTGCTCACAAATCTTCAAAATACATACAACCTCCTGTTCTAATTATAAGATCTCGTTTATAGACTATAAATAAGACCTTATAATTAGAATTAGAGGTAATATATATATATACATGTATATTTATAACTATTGCTTTCTTAATCATGCTTTGGATTTTTCGTAATCAAACTGCCTCCCACTTTCGTGCTCTTCTTCCTCAATATAGATTCATATCTTGGGCCTCTAATTCATATTACAACCAAGCCTTCTTAACAGGCATAATGTGTGAGCCCAATTTACAAAATGTTGGAGCTGGAGGCCCAGTATAACTATTTTGGGCCATGGGGAGCCACCTCAGCACCTACCTGGCCCAAACATGTGTGTACGTCTAGGCGAGGCAGTTTCACTTATTCGTCTGACTTCTTCAAATTTCAATAATCTTTTTATAGCTTATAAAAGAAAAGAGAATAAATGGAGAATATTTTCCATACACTCCTTTTTCTATTTTTTGAAGTTTATATTTTTTTTATAAAAGAAAATCTCACTTGTTTGTAACACACACACACACAATAACATTTACACAGTATCTTTACAATTACCTAGTTTTGTATAACTAGGTTTAGACATCAAAATAAGTATTAATGGTCATGTCAAAATCAGAACAGGGTCCAATAATATTCATTCCCTCAACATCCACGTCTCTCTGGTCTCCCTTTATGCACAACATATCACGACCCTCTTTTGGTGTTCGCCCTTTTTATTTGATGGTGTTCATATTTAAAAGCCGAGTGCGTCATTTACAAGTCATATTTGCGAATATTGAGTCTTTTAAAACTTATTAATAACAAGATCCAAGAATTTATCCATATTACCAAACAAACATCCATCCATCCAGTATTGTGAATAAAAAAGTGGTGATAAAAATTATAAAACAGCGTTTGTAAAGAAATAGAACTTTTTATCCTTCTAAAAACAGTTTTGATAGATAACCGAGCAAGTGAACCGCCAATTATAGATGACAGATCTGGCCCCGCAATAATATTTTTAAACCTCACTCAAATCAGCTTAATTAATCACAGCAAGCTACCAATTAACAATGTTAACCACCCTTAACGCCACTTCTTCAAATTCGTACCTCAGAAGACCTCTCTTTTTCTATTGTACTACTGTATATTAAAAAGAAAATGTTGAGAGAATTATTTTTATGTAAACCTAAGAACAATGTAGTGACATATATATATATACATATAGAGAGAGAGAGAGAGAGAATAGTACGAAATAATAAGATAATGAATTGTTAAAACAGAAGAAATGGCTCTCCGAAATGAGGTATCCAGGTAGCTAGGTTGGACTTTAATTGATGAAGAGCATTTAGAGATTAAGACGTGGAGGGTAAAAGCAAGCGCAAAAGGCTGAAGGCATACATTTTCATTAGGAAAAGGATTGGTGGTGGCATATATGATGGGGGTGCCATGGAGGCGCCTCTAGTTTTATAGAACCCTACCCTATATATAAAAGGGCATAAGCTATGTGTGCTATATGAGTTAAAAGCCTGAAAATTTGACATAAAGACACACATGATGCGTCAATTTTGGGAGTAGCCATATATAAAGCCTATATTTTATGGTATTTTGATGCTCCTACGCTCATAAAAATTACATTTGTTTTAGTTCAATATACGCCTAGCCTGCACGAGAGATCAGAGAATTATATATGTTGTGTTGTCACTTTGACATTACACTTCCCTCAAAAGAATCAAAATAACAAACCATAAAGCCTAATTAATCATTGATCACGTATTATATTCTTGATGGATAGCTGTGTGTTGATACAACGTCAAATTACATAATTGCGACACCATAAATTCATACGTATTTTTATATTTAATTCGCACTACCGCAATATAATTGTTCTTCGAGCATTCGTTTCATTTTATCCATATATTACCCCTATATATATAATGGCAAGTAAAAGAGATTAAAAATATCAAATTAAAACACAAATATATCGTAAAATGTTGATATAAATAGAATAAGGATTAAATCATGATTTTTTTATTATTTAATTTTTTTTGGAAGTTATGTAACCATATATTTTTAGATAAAGTGATTTTAAAAGGAAATTTGATAACGAGATCTGTGTCTCTGTACTTATTCCTTGTCACGTTTTTATTCCTTTTTCTTAGTTGTATTAGATGTATAGTTACTCCTCTGGTCTTTAATATAAAACTTATTTAACTAATTTGATTTTATTAACGAAGGTAGATAAGTTAGTTAATTATAAGAAATATGACTTTTTTTAAAACACCATAATCATCTTTCTTAATATCTTCTCTCCCTCTTCTATTTGATTATGATTGAGGGAGTATCTATCTATAGAGGTATTTTGGAAAAAATTGATAAATAGATTTTATATTTAGAACCAAAATCAACTCAACAATTAGTATCTATGACCAGAGGAGTAGTTTGTAATTAATAGAACTATGTTTGTGGATTGTGAGTGTAAATGGAGAAGAAAATTATTATTGGAGGCAAAGGTTTATAAGGGAGAGAAAGGAGGGAGATGTGAGGGAAGCAAAAGCACATGGGGAGAAGGGGGGCATGTGGAGAAGATTCAGAGAACTTCCAATAACAACATTTCATTTATATTCATATTTATATATTCAGCACAGAAAGAGGATTAGGAAGGTGATCGAAGGTGGCAACTCCTGTCCCAAGAGTTTTTAAATAATACAAATATCGATTAATATATTAAAAAAATACAATCTTTAAAGAGTTATATCATCCTATACTTATAAATAATATATATCTAATTCTTAATTTTTTATGACTTTAAATATCTTTCAAGATATTTTAAAAATATAATATAATTAAAATATTAAAAAAAATGAATGGTGATATATTGTGCTGGAGATTACAAAATAATGAGAAAGAGAGGTGTATTTGCATAGTACTACTTCCGTTTCTAATTATAAGAACTAACTAACTAATTTGAGGAGGTTAAGAGAATAAGTTAAGTTAGTTATTTATAATAAATAGGTGTTGTCTTTCCTAAGATATCCTTGCTAATCAAGTTTATTATTGGTTAGACTACTATTATTAGAGGGACAATCTTTAAAAAAATACATAAATATGAGAGACAAAGTAAATTGAGGTTTTATAATTAGAATTAAAATAAAGATCAAATAAAATCTTATATTAAAAACCAGATGCAGTATATGTATGGATATGGGTAACCTAGTGGAAGGGCAGCATCCGGTGGGATCCACGCTCAATGGATAGATCCGATTTGCATTGAAAATGGTGAAACCAAACTACCCCCACAATATTCTTTGTTTTTTTCTCTCTCACCCTTTTTTTTTTGGGCCTATGTAAAGGAAAGAACTCAAAGAAGAGAGGCTTCAATTCCTTCCTCCGTTCATAACTTGTTCATCCCTCGCGCCACTTGGTGATTATTTTTTCGCCCTTACTAGCATATTATATACTTTAATCAGTTTTGAATTAATGCATCTTGACCCCTCATGTTTAATTTTAGGACATAAAGTGTGCCTAATAACTTCTCAAAATATTTCAAAATCTCATGTTCTTCGATAGTTCAATAATAGCCATATATATATATATATATATTCTAATTCAGCACGCAAGCAACATCCCCACATAACCAATGTCTTGCTTCTTCTTCTGCTCTTGATTGTGAATCGATTACAAGATCGGACGATTTGTTTGGTGCAAGCTCTGGCTGGTTGAGAAAAAAATACTCAATTAACACCAAAATAATAATCAATATTTTCTTGTTTTGTTATTGCGCAGTATATATATATATTACTTGTGAATTTTGATGCATATATACGAGGTGAAATTTGTTTATTTAAGTTATAATATTAAATTATTAAATAAGTTTGACAAAAAAAGTTTAAAAGAACACATTAATTCCAAAACTGACGCCGCACAATAATTATGTTGTTTTTGTTTTGCCAGGAACTTAATTTCGAAAAATGATTGAGGTTGAACTTATCTTTAATGCAAAGCGAGAGAGAAAATGACTGTAGTAGAGAAGGAGAAAGAGAGAGAGAAAATGACAGGATCCATATAAACGAGTGGGTCCACGAAAGCTCCTATCTCTCTCCCTGATAAATTCCACTATTTACTAATCCGCCTCTCCTTTTGTTTTCTCACTCTTCTTCTTCTTTCTTCTCTCTCTCTCTGTCTTTCTCAACCTAAAAATCGCTGTCTTTCAGAGTCTGTACCCATCATCATTATCTCCTTGTCTGAAAACCCTGTCACCATGAGAGTGAGAGCCAAGCCCTGTGAACGTCGTCACCCCCTTCCTTTGGTATATAGCTAGAGACCCCTCCATAACGCACCAAAAAGCCCTGTTTCGATCGGTTCTCTCCATCGCTTCCACTTGCATGAATTAATGATACTGCCCTCATCTGCTTTTCCCATGGCCTTCCCTCCTCACACTTTCCTGTTTCAGACCCACGAAGATCATGATCAACTCCCTTCCACCTCCATCAACGCCTATAACTCCTTCACACCCAAGTTCTTCGAAGGTCATACACATATATATTCTCTTTTCTCTCGTGTACTTTTCTTTATTTATTCATAATGTGTATATATAATTGCTAATCGTACACAGGCGGTGCAGTACCTTTGGTGTTGAAGAGATCCGTGTCATTTTCAGGGATCGAGAACAAGCATGAGGATGAAGAGCTGTCCGATGATGGATCTCAGCTGATGGGGGAGAAGAAGAAGAGACTGAACATGGAACAAGTGAAGGCACTGGAAAAGAGTTTCGAGTTAGGGAACAAGCTGGAGCCTGAACGCAAAATGCAGCTGGCCAAGGCTCTGGGCCTTCAGCCGAGGCAGATCGCTATTTGGTTCCAGAATAGGAGGGCCAGATGGAAAACCAAGCAGCTCGAGAAGGAATATGAAGCTCTCAAGAAGAAGTTTGAAGCTCTCAAGGCTGACAACGATGCCCTTAAGGCTCATAACCACAAATTACACGCTGAGGTACACATCTAGCTATCAGTGATTCAATCAATTTCCTGAAACTTTTGCAAAAGGGAAAACTTGAACTTAATTAGCATCCATCTACGTCTAGGGTCGCTGTTTTTTTCCCGTTTATTGAACAGCTACATATTTTGATTCTGGCTCTAGTCTTATCAACCCCTACGTATTCAGTATATGCTCGGATTTAGGGGGACTGCTGCTGCTTTATAGTTATTTTCTAGTTTCTATTTCGCTACCTTTTAACTTCTTCACTCACCTTCTGAAATTCAATCACCTTAACTCTCTGGTTGAGCAACGGATTTTCTCGTGTTTGAGTTTCGGTGCTCTCTCTTTATATATATAGACATGAAAAGTCTCTATTTTATTGATTCAATCCATGGATTGATTCTGTGTATTAATGACTTTAAAAAAGTCATCGATTCCCTCACCAGCTTTCTGCTTGGTTAGTTGATCGTTCTTGTCAAGAGTCAGAAGCACAGTGTCAGAACATCAGAACTCAGAATCGAAGTACATTTAAATACTAGCCAATTGTGAAGTTTTTCATTTTCTTCTCTGTTTTCTGAAATATAGATATTCTAGTTGCCATGAACAGACATGGGGTTGCATTCAATCTCATTGAATTTTAAATAGCCACTTGGAAGACACATCAGGTTGGATATCGGACGCATATGCATACGTGTTGGTTTTTACTTTATATGGATGATGTGAATTGCAGATACAAGCTTTAAGGGGGAGAGATTGCTGTGAGGGCGGAACTATCAATTTTAAGAAAGAACCAGAGGCTTGTTGGAGCAACGGGAGTACTGAGAATAGCTCGGATATTAACTTGGATCTCTCAAGATCACAATTTCTAAACAGTACTCTAACTTCAGTACAGAATGGTAAAAGCCTTCTTCCCTCTAATGCCCTTAAGCCAACCAGCATAACCCAGCTCCTCCAATGCTCATCCAGATCAGAACTTCAAGATGAAAGCTTGTCCAACATGTTTCATGGCGGCGTCGACGAGCACCAGAATTTCTGGCCCTGGCCTGACCACCACCAGTTTCATTGAACCACAGATTATCAGAATTGAGACGGTTGAAGAATTCAGAAGAAACCTAAGCTTATTATTACAGCTCCACCTTAATTAATTTCCCTAGTTATTACTCCATAAGTTTCAGTTTTGTGTGTGAGATAGATTGGTAAAATTTGCTTGAGCAAATCTACTTTCAAGAGTGAGGAAACGGTGGGCTTTTAAGTAGTGCACCTTCTTTCCCCATAGACACTTTAAAGTATTGCAATTATCCCACATACATACTACATATTATATATATATGTTGGTTAGGTTTGCAATAAAAAAAGCATTAAAGTAGTAATACTAGTTAGGTACATGTGCCCCTAAGTGGGGTCCAGCTCTGGCCAGCAAGTATGGGGCCATGAAAAGAAATAGGATTCCCTGTTTGCATTCTGTGATTGAGTATATATATTTTATTGGGTGCTGGGTTCGATTTGAATCATGAGATCATATCATAAAGATGTTTGAAGAAAGTTCACCTGATCTGAATCAGCGACTGACTTTTAAAAGGGTGAGAGGCATCGTCATCAGCCCTCTCTCTCCTTCTTAGGAAACAAGAGCCAAATCTAGTTGGAGTTTAAAAAGCAAGCAAGATGCATGGCACAGAGAAGTAGAAGAGGTGGGGTTTTGGGGGATTCTGTGCACACAATCCCATACAGATGAGAAAAAGAGACAGAAAAAATATCAAAGGCCAGGCCACGTTTGATTTCTTTCTTCCTACCTTTTTTTTTTTTTTTGAAGAAGATAATCTGTCCGTGGTTGCAGTGAAATACATTTTTTCCTATATTCATACGAAGTAGTGAATATTTATTATTATACGCACAAAAGTTAATTTAACAGATTTGATGATAAAGAACTCAAGGTTTTCCGAAGATCGACTTCTCCGCATGCAGCAAAGATGATGGTGTTAGTATCGTGAATACGATGTTGGGAAGTTAGCATATTTTAAATAATCTGACGAGGGAAACTATTTAACTGTGTTATGATCGGAGATCCATGTGACATACTACCAAAGCAACCCATCTCTCTCTCTCTCGCTCTCGGTACGTATCTGCCAGAAGTTGTTGTAAAGGGCTTAATTATATTTGAAATGTATAGAGTGGGGGGTGGTTCCTCTATTATAGAGCAAACACTACTTACTGAGTAATATGTTGGAAAAACATGAAGGACACTTTAGATGGGAAGACGCAGTACAAGTAGAAAAAGATGTATCGCTGTTTTGAAGGACACTTTATCACCAAAGTATCTTAACAGCTATGGTCAATTAAAAAACTACAAAGCCATCCTAATTTAATGAATAATAACTCGCACAATCTTACTGCCTCCACTGGTATTCACTTACAGCTAACAGAGATTGCCTATTATATATTAGATATTCAACCCGAAAAGAATTCAATTCACACATGTCCCTTTTCCTGTCTTCGTAGGCTCCCTTGGGCATCTTAAAAGCATTTTTCTTAGGGGAAAAAAACTGAATGGGAGTAGAGAAAAATGATGAGAAGGATAGTAATAGAGACCATCATCCTCTAAATTGAATAGTCTTCTAGAATTCGCACCGTTCAAACTACTGAATATTAATTACAGGAGGCTCAAACTAGAAAATGCAGAAACATATAAACACGAGGTATTTGAAATTTAAAACCTTGTACAATTTTTCAGTTGGCACATGGCATGCATCATTAAATTACTTGCAATTTTTTTTTAGAACAAACGACATTATTTTCCGATTCCATATAAACCCCAATGGAATTGAAAGAGAATATTCGGCATGAGCTGTATATGTAATTAGAACGAAGTTAGTATGAGTTTAGATACTACCACCTTGATTACTAATACACCACTACCTCTGGTTCTTACTATAAAAATTAGTTGACTAATTTGAATAAATTAAGGTTAATTAGTCAAGTTAGTTATTTATAATAAATACTACTACCCCAGTCTTATTTATAAGATCTCGTTTGTAGACTGCAAATGAAGCCTTATAATTAGGACTGGGGTAGTATGTTGTGTTGTTTTTCTAAATACCCTTACTAGTTAAGTGTCATTTAATGAGAAATTTAACGTATGCAGCTACTATAAGGAGTATCTTGAAAAAAATAGATAAATAATGAGAGACAAAGTAGATTGGAGTCTTATATTTAGGATCAAATTTAAAGTCAAACTACTTTTATATTAAGAAACGGAGATAATTAAGAGTTAGATAACTAATTTATGAAAATGAAAAAAATTAGTTAAATAGTTAGTTGTAATAAGTTAGTATTGTCGTTCCCAAAATATTTTTGTTATAATGTGCATTGAAGTTATCCCTTGATAAAAACCTTTTACATATATGCACTGCCCTGTGGAGGTTATTTGGAGAAAATAGATAAATATTGGAAACAAAGTGAATTTGGAGTATTATATTTATAATCAACTTGAATCTCCAACCAGCTCTTATATTAAAGTAGAGGTAGTAATTAGAAACCAGTAGGAGCTGTGTATGCTCTTTCCGATATTATGTTGTCCAATTTATTGCATTCTTATTTGTTAAAATGTATTTATTTTGATATCTTTTTATTTGAGCGATGTCAACTAAAAAGTAAAGAACGATAAAAATTAAATATGATTTTAGACCATTCAGAGGAAACATTCCTATGCATAATGAACAATATTATTGGACAGTGCATGACTTGGCTAGACAGAGTAGCGTGGCCATAATGCACATTACACTGATGGATGTGGCAATACCCAACCCATTAATGCTTACGCGTGGTCGAACTAGAATGTTACGATTTCCCCATTAATGATCATGTCACTTCGTTTCATATATATGGACCCCAACTTATATTACTAAAATACTTGCCAATTCGTAAAATTTTTCCAGCTCAATGTGTATCAGGAAACATAGCATAAAATTAATTAAAAAATTTCACAACTCATCAACAACATGATTCACCTAAATCTCATTGTTTATACTCCTTCTATCCTAAATGTAAAATTTAATTAACTAATTACGGATAGTAAAAAAATTAATTAAGTTAAAATATGTATCACATTATATTCCTGAAAATACACATCTTTTTTTAAAAAAAGTATCAAATATGAGAGATAACGAGAGCAAAAAAAATTGTGAAATTAGGTTAATGTAGGGGAAAATATTAATAAGAAAATTAAAGAAGATTAAAAATTGACCAAACAAATCTCTTAACTAAGTTTCATATTTAGGACAAGAGAGTAAAATAGATCACCACCAGTCTATTTTTGGTAAAACTGCCATGTGCCGCCAGGATAAAAGGAAAACTGAATATAATATGAAAATACAGAAAAAAAAAAGTTTTAATTTTTTAGAGTATGGAATGTTGCCGTTAAAAATTTAAAAAAACATTGTTGATTGGGCGTCTTTTATATATGTTAAATTGATGATATGAAACAAATGTATCTTGTTTGGTGTAATACGGTTTTTGACTATGAATGCAGTGGGAAATGACAATTTGGGTGATGATGACTGGACTTTTATTTTAAGATCATGATATTGTATAATTAATTATATTTTAGAACTATGGTCCTTGAGTAATCTAGTGTCAAATTTTACAATTAAAATACCCATTTAATTATTAAGCCCAAGTGATGATAATTTGCAACTTCTAAAAAGTATCACATCCCCTAATAAAGTTGCTCGTTTTCCCCAAAAAATCAAGACCTCATAAATATATAAATTAAAGCCACTTGATGCGCGAGCAATGTCACCCAGTTAGTCACTGCAATGCCAAATGGCTGATACCAAAAAATTTAAAAAGGAAATAAAAAGAAAGGCACATGATTTCCCAGAAAGAAAAAAAAAATAGAAAACACACATGATTATGAGATCAAGTCAACTAGATTAAATATTCAATAGATATTAAAATCCGACTTCATTAATGCCCGATTCATTTTTTTTCTGCTTTGCTCATCAGAACTTGGATCTCAATCCACTCTTCTTCCTTTCTGGGTATCTCATCTCATCTCTTGCTCATATTCCCAAACAATTAACAAAGAAGAAGAATGAACACGCTTCCCTAAGGCATGTTTGGTCGTCTCGGTAACATTATTTTGTTACGTCTAATTAATTTACTATATGCTAATTCAATATACGAGACTCGCGTTAGTCTTAAGCTGATTTAGAAATCAAATTAATCTACCAAAAATGCTGCGCGTCACATTCAATCAACTATATAACTTTCTCTAAGTGATTCAAATTGATCCTTCAGTCCAAAAAAAAAAAAAGTGATTCAAATTGATATGCAGCCTAGTTTGTATATTATCCTTTGATATGCTCCCTGGCTTTGAAATTTTTTAATTCAATTAATTTTTTATGAAATTGAAGACCATTCTAATTATAATTAAAAAATTTTAAATTTTTTTAATCGATCTAAATTAATTGAGTAGCTTTTGGTTAAGAATAGAGGAAATATTTTATTGAATTCGGGGGAAGATAAAGTTACTAACACGTGTGCCCTTAATTTCACGTTGCTTTTACTTTATACAAAAAATTAATTAAAAATATATTCTATTGAAATTGTTATCTAAATTTAAAGTTCTGATCATTTCAATTCAAATTATAAGTTTTTTTATAAAATACTTCTCCGTTCCTTAATATAAGACCTAATTATTAAGTTAATTTTGATCCTAAATAAAAGATCTATTTCTCATATTTATCAATTTTTTTAAATATCTCTATAGATACCCCCTCAACCATAATCAAGTAAGTGAAGAAGAAAGGATATTGAGAAAGAATGTAAATTTATAATTAAATGCTATTAAATACTAATATTTTAAAAATAGAATACATGTCCGTGTATAATTAGAGAACTTGACGTAGTGAATATAAAGAATTTGACCTAAGGTTTTTCCCAGTAAGAATATTCTAATAAGTATAACAAAAAATATATTTAATTTCAGATTACCAAAATTATCGTAGATCCTACATATAGATACAGAATTAAAAAAATAAATTCACTATTTATGAATTATACACAATTTTTAATTAATGAGACTAAAGAAATGAAAACTACTAGGAAGGCTGGATGGCTGGGTGATGTTTTTTCCCCGTTTGCCTACGGCTGGATGATAATTTTT